GATGTGGACTAATTAGAATCCTCATACATTGCTGGTGGGAATGTAAAATGGTGACGTCGCTTTGGAAAAAAAGTTACTCAGAAAGTTAAACATAGAGTTACCGTATGACCCATCATTTCTCCTCTTGGATATATACCCAGGATAACTGAAAACATATGTTCACGCAAAAACTTGCACGTGAATCTTCATAGCAGCATTATTCAAAATAGCCAAAAATCGGATACAACCCTAATGTCAATTAACTAACGAATGGGTAGTATATCCATATAGTATAGAATATTATTCAGCCATAAAAAGGGAGGAAGTACTGATACATACTACAACACGGATGAAACTGAAAACATTATGCTAAAGTGGTATCTCAGTGTGGTTTTGATTTACATTTTCCTAATGGCTAGTGTTGAACATCTTTTCATGTGTGTACTGGCCATATGTATATTTTCTTTGTAGAAATGTCTGTTGTAAGTCCTTTGCCAAGTTTTATATGGAGTTGTTTGTCTTTTTACTGTTGATCTGCAAGTGCTATTTATATATTCTGGATAGATAGATACATACATAGACAGACAGACCGGCTGACAGATAGCTATCATCTAGTTGACTCTAAATCATGGGACCTTATGTACAACAGAACAAAACATTGCCCAGTTCTTCATCATTACAATTGCTGGCATGTTTGAGTATTACATTTCTTTTGTTAAATTTATTCCTAAGTATTTTATTCTTTTGGATGCTATTGCAAATGCAATTGTTTTCTTAATTTCGTTTTCGGATTGTTCATTATTGGTGTCTAGAAATAAACTGATTTTTGTGTGTTGATCATGTGTCTTCCAACCTTGCTTAACTTGTTTACTAGTTCTAAGGTTTTTTTTTTTTGTTTGTTTTTTTGTGTTTTTGGATGTGTGTGTGTGTGTGTATTAGGATTTTCTGTATACAAAGTCATGTTATCTGTGAATCCAGATAGTTCCACTTTTTCCTTTGCAATCTGAATGCCTTTTATTTCTTTTCCTTGCTTAATTGCCCTACCTAGAACTTCCTGTACAATGTTGAATAGAAGTGGGTGAAAGTGGACACCTCTATCTTGTTCCTAATCTTAGGCAGAAAGCTTTCAGTCTTTCATTATTAAGTATGATGCTAGCTGTGGGTTTTTCACAGATGCCCTTATTCAGATTGAGGAAATTCCGTTCATAATCTGTTGAGTATTTTTATCATGAAAGGGTATTGGATTTTTTCAAATGCTTTTTCTGCATCTATTCAGATGATCATTGTCTCCCCATTTTTCTGTTAGTATGGTGTATTACACTGATTGATTTTCATATATTGAACCAACTTGCATTCCTAGAATGAATCCAACTCAGTCATGTTGCATAAGCTTTTTTCTAAGCTGCTGAATTTAGCTTGTTAGCATTTTGTTGAGGATTTTTTGTGCCTATCTTCATAAAGGACATTGGTCTGTAGTTTTCTTTTCTTATGATGTCTTTGTCTGGTTTTGGTATCAGGAGAATATTGGCCTCATAGAACAAGTTGTGAAGTGTTCCCTCCTTTTCTATTTTTTGGGAGAGTATACGAAGAATTGGTGTTAATTCTTCTTTAAACACTTGGTATACTTCACCAGTGAAGCCATCTGGTCTTGGACTTTTCTTTGGAAAGTGTGGTGATTATTAATTCATGCTTTTTGATTGTTATAGGTCTATTCAACCTTCTGTTTTTTTCTTGAATCAGTTTTGGTAGTTTGTATGTTTCTAGAACATTGTTCATTTCATCTAGGTTTTCTGATTTGTTGGCATACATTTGTTCATAGTATTCCCTTATAATTCTTTTTTTTTTTGTAAGTTTGGTAGTAATGTTCCCTCTTTCATTTCTAACTAAGTAATTAAGTAACTTGTCTCTTCTCTGTCTTTTTTTAAAATTGATTATAAGTAGTCCCCAACTTATGATGGGGTTCTGTTCCGATGACTCTGTCGTAAGTCAGTTCTGACATGAGTCAAACACCTCTTTCTTTCTTTTTAGTTTTCATTATTATTTTAAAAGTGCTCAGCTGCTTACTGAAAGGTCAGCAGTTTGAACCCAACAGCCTCTCCGTGGGAGAAATATGTGGCAGTCTGCTTCTGTAAAGATTACAGCCTTGGAAATCCTGTGGGGCAGTTCTGTTCTGTCCCTTGGTAGCACAGTGGTTAAGAGCTATGGCTGCTAACCAAAAGATCAGCAGTTTGAATCCACCAGCCACTCCTTAGAAACCCTACAGGGCAGTTCTCCTCTATCCTATAAGGTCGCTATGGGTTGGAATTGACTTGACAGCAATGGGTTTTTTTATAGGGTCACTATGAGTCAGAATTGACTCGATGGCAGTGAGTTTGGTTTTTGTTATCAGTATTTTTATAAATCTGATCTTTATTTGTCTTTGGGGGTCGGAAACATTACATATAAACTTACAGGTATATTTAATATTGTATGTAGTGCGTATTACTAACGATAAGATGTACAAAAAAGAAAACAAAAAAACTAGACAGTCGTAAGTGGGCTGCATTGTAACTCGAATATGTCATAAGTCAGGGACTACCTGTAATCTGTCTAAATGTTTGTCAATTTTGTTAGTATTTTCAAAGAACCAACTTTTGGATTTGTTTATTTTTTCTGTTTATTAAAATCTTTATTATTTTCTACCTTCTTGCTTTTGGTTTAGTTTGCTCTTATTTTTCTTGCTTTTTAAAGTGGAAGGTTAGTGTACTGATTTGAGGTCTATCTTCTTTTTTAAGACTGCTATTTATAACTATAAATTTCCCTCTAAGCACTGCTTTCAACACATCCTATAAGTTTTCATATGATGTGCTTTCATTTTCATTTATCTCAAGGAATTTTCTAATTTCCCTTGTGATTTCTCCTCTGACCCATTAGTTTTTTAGATTGTGTTGTTCAATTTCTGTGTATTTGTAAGTTTGCAAAATTTTTCCTGTTATTCATTGCTAATTTTTTTCCACTGTGGTCAGAGAACATGCTTTGTATTACCTCAGTCCTTTTAAATATATTGAGACTTGTTTTAGGACCTAACATATTGTCTATACTGGAGAATGTTCTATGTGCGCTTGATAAGAATGTGTATTCTGTTGTTGTATGGAGTGAGTGTTCTATAGATGTCTGTTAGGTCTAGTTGTTTTATAGTGTTGTCCACATTTTATGTTTCCTTGCTGATCTTCTGTCTAGTTATTCTATCCATTACTGAAAGTGGGATGTTTAAGTCTTCAACTTTTATTGCGTATTTGTCTTATTCAATTGTATCTGTTTTTGCTTCATATATTTTGGGACTCTGTTGTTATGTGCATATATGTTTATAATTATGTCTTCTTGATAGATTGACACTTTTATCAGTATGAAATATTCTTCTTTTTCTGTAGTAACTATTTTTGTATTAAAGTCTACTTTGCCTGATGTTAGTAAGGCAGTTCCAGCTCTTTTTTGGTTATTGTGTACAGAGTATATCTTTTTACATCCTTTTACTTTCATCCTATTTGTCTCTTTGGATCTAAAGTTTGTCTCTTGTAGACAGCATAGTTTCATCATTTTTTTAAAAAACCAATTATATCATTCTCTGTCCTTTAACTGGAGAGTTTAACCCATTTACATTTAATACAATTACTGATAAGATAGGATTTATGCCTGCCATTTTGCTATTTGTTTTTTCTATATGTCTTATGCCTTTTTTTTGTTCCTCAATTGCTCTATTACTGCCTTCTTTTGTATGAAATATTTTCTAGTGTATCATTTTGATTCCTTTGGTCATTTCTTTTACTATATATTTTTGACTTATTTCCTTAGTGGTTACCCTGAGGATTTCAATTAGTATCTCAGTTTATAACAATCTAGTTGGCTTAATAGCATCTTAATTGCACTAGTATATGAAAACTTTGCTTCTATATAGTTTCATTTCCTCCCTTTTTGTACTCTTATTGTCATACAAATTACATCTTTATACATTGTATACCCATCAACACAGAAGTGTAATTATTACTTTATGCAATTTTCATTTAAATTAGGTAAGAGAAAAAGGATTTACTAACAAAAAAATGCATTTAAACCCACTAACCCACTGCTGTCAAGTCAATTCTGACTCATAGTGACCCTACAGGACAGAGTAGAACGGTCCCAATGGGTTTCCAAGGCTGTAATATTTATGGAAGCAGACTGCCACGTCTTTCTCCCACAGAGCAGCTGAGGGGTTCAAACTGCTGAACTGTCAGTTAGCAGTCAAGCACTTTAATCGCTGTGCCACTGGGGGTCCTAAAAAAAAAAATTTAAACTGTCTTTTATATTTACCTATATAGTTACATTTACTGGTGCTCTTCCACTGTGCCACTGGGGGTCCTAAAAAAAAAAAATTTAAACTGTCTTTTATATTTACCTATATAGTTACATTTACTGGTGCTCTTTATTTTTTTGTATGGATTCAAGTTACTGTCTACGGTCTTTTCACTTCAGCCTGGGGGACTCCCTTCATTGTTTCCTGTAGGGCAGGTCTACTAATGACAAATTCTGTCAGTTTTTGTTTATCTGGGAACATCTTAATTTCACCTTCATTTTTGAAGGATAATGTTCTTACTGAGTTTCAACAGTTTTTCTTGAATAAATACTTCCCAGATTGCTTCAAGACTTGGCTTAATTTCCAGACTTCTGAAAAAAGTTGATTCTGACAATTTTCACCAGTTTTCTTGTTTTTGTAGAGAGAATTTTCAGAGGTCTTCACTATGCCATTTTTGCTGCCTTCTGATTCATATTTATTTTATGCTCTTGTCAATATGTATGATTTTTCTCACACATGTGCAAATTAAATTTAAAAAACTATCACAACTTGAGGTTGCAGGAGGCCATGCAGAGCTAGAGCTGAGTAAGGGGCTGTGAATGGGCCTGAATGATGCCAGCCTCCGGCTGAACAGAAGGGTCTGAGGAGCTACAGGGTGTAGACCCCACAGGAGTCTTCTCTATAACTTCTGATGTTTTGTGTCTCCTAGGTTAGAGTTGCCAGAAGCTCAGCTGTGCTCAGATGGATAGGGCAGAGACCCGGCAGCGGAGGCTGGAAGGCTTTGACAGGCCAGAGGAACTTGGCCTGCCACACACCCAGAGCCCAGGAAGACCTATTGCAGCCACAGAAGATGGACCTTGGACTATTCCTGACAGCCAATGGGTGGCTCCCAAACAACTCGGGACTGAGCTTAGCAAGGAGACCATGTTGTCCATTGGTGTTCAGGTGACACTGCCCTTCCTGTTTGCAGGCCTGGGGCTGTCTATGGCTGGCGTGCTTTTGAACTATTTCCAGGTAACAGGGAACTAAATAGGGATGGTGGTGGTAGGGACCTTGTCCAATGTCAACCTAAAAAGTGGGCAGCTACACATTGATTCTAGCTTAAGAGACATAAGGAAGGGCCTCCTCTCCCAAAATGTCATTTTTCTGTATATTGGGCTGGCTTCTCTTAGTTACTGGTGGCAGAGATGAAACTTAACCCAATTTAAGCTTAAATAGGCAATTTATTAGCTTATATAATTGAACTATGTGAGGGGTTAGATTTCAGGCAATGGTAACAAGTTACTGGCTCTTCTCTATCTCTCAGCCCTGTTTCAGTTTCACCCAAGATTGCTCTACCTAGTAGGGAGGGTGGCCCTTGGCAGTCAATCCTTAGTACAAATTCTCTTAGAAAAAAAGAGAGACCTCTTTGTCAATATCCATATCAATCTTGAAAAATTGACCTTGAACTGCTCCTCTGAGTTAAAGTGTCCATTCCTGTCCCAATCACTGTTTCCTGAGGGATGACATTCTCTGCTTGGCCATCCTGATTCACGTTGTCATCACTCTCTGAGGGGAGGCAGGGCCCATCAGAATCCTTTAGATTGAGGAACTAGGAATTACCCCTCAGAAAAGTTACAAATGTACCATACTATTATTCTACTATTAAAGCCCCATTCTTTCATCATAAGATTCTTCAGAAGTTCTCTCTGGAAAGGGATACTCCCCAAGAGTAGTTTAAGCCATTACCAGCCCCATCTTTCCTATTAGTTGACAACTGGCTGAGAACAAAGATGGTCAGGAGTAGGGCAAGCCAGGAGAAGTAGGACTGATGTGGGAGAAGTGTGGAGTCCAGCAGCTCTTCTCTGACTCACTCATTGGTATGGAAGCCTCAGAGTGATGGAGTTCCCTGTGCCCTTGCTAGCGAACTTAAGCCATGCACCTTGCTGATTTGGAACCAGTCAGGGTTTGAGTCAAGGTTTTGCCACTTAGTAGCTATAAGACTGGTGATTTAATTTTTTTTAAAAAAACCAACATTTAAAAATCAAGAGATTTCACATGAAAATCTGAATTCCTATTTTCTCTTGAAAAATTGGTAAATCTTGCAACATTGAGCTCACATTCCCTCCTGGCTACAGTCAATGGGAGCCGCCCCATATAGGTGGCTGTGCTCTCTCTCTCCAGTTTGCCACAGTCCGCACTACTCCCTCTGTCACATCATCGCACTTCATGCAGTTACCTGCCTGACTCCTGTCCCAGACTCAGGTGCTTAGTGACCCCCAACACCCTAGCTGGCCAGTTACTCAAAGCACAGTCTCCAGTGGCTGCCACCTCAGCTCCACTCCCCAGGTCCCACCTGAACCTAGTCCAACCCCAGAATGGCTCCTCAAATCATCATCCCTGATACCCCTCTCTGATTTAGCCCCACTCCCCTTTTTTGATCTCTGTGACCTCCAGAGCCCTCACCCCTCTCCTTTCTTCCAGAAGCCTCCCATCCTGCTTCAACCTATGGTCGGTCATCACTGCTGTGATCCTAAGAGCATCTCAGCCCTTGGCCTCCACATCCCACAAATTTCCTCCATGGAGTCCCTCCTCCCCATCCTCACTGCCACGTCTCGCCCCAGCCCGCTCACCACCCTCGTTAGTTCTGCTCTCATTCCCTGGAGTCCCTTCTCTACACCAGTGATTTTCAAAGTTTGTTTTATTGAGTACTGCTGTCAGTGAAACATCATTGAGCATGTAGCCTCTATACATGCACTCACACACACACACTGATTCATACACACTCACACTCATACATTAGTTTATGATTTATATATACACACGTTGATTTATACACATACATTAGTTTATGAATGCTATATGCGTACACATTTATATATATACACACAAATACATGCACATACACACATATTGATTTAAAATAACATATTGAAAAACAGTATAATGTATTGTTTAGATTCCCGAACCAAACTGGTTGGTTTTGAATCCTACCTTTGTCATTTGGACAAGTTAATCTCTATCCCCCAGTTTCCTCATCTGTAAATTAGAAATAACGATAGGTTGTTAAGAGGACTGAGTGAGGTAATACATATAAAGTGCTTATAACAGTGCCTGGCACATAGAAAGCTTTACTCAGTAAGGGTTAACTGCTATTATTGTTGCTGTTGATACTAGGTCACATGTACTGCTGTAGCAATTTTTAAGAATTTACACAAAAATTGCAGTTAAGAAGGATTATGATTAAACAGCAGTGTTAGTTCTATCATTTCTCTCGTGTGCCCCATTGAAGTGTCTTGTGCCAATATCAGTTGCTGTGCACCCTATGTGGCAGATCCTTGCTCTTGCACTATGTCAGGGGATGTCTCCACCAAGGGTGAAAATCTATTGATTTCTCTACCGTCTGTGGGATAAAATCCAGACTCCTAAAACCAGCATCCAAGCCTACATGGCTGTATCAATTACGATGGTTCAAGCCACCACAGAAAACCAGAACTAAAGTGGGCTACATAAGAAGAGAATATGTTATCTCCCCCACCAAAAAAAAGTCCAGGATAGGGGATTCCAAGGTTAATAAGTGATGTCATCACCAGCCCAGTGATCACCAAGGACGCAGGATCTTTCCTCGTTCCTGTGTGTCATCTGTCATGGGTAAGCTCTGTCCTCATGGCCATAAGATGGATGTGGCAGGCATCAGGTCCGGAGGGAGAAAAGTGGACCATTTTTTCTGGTTTCTCCTTCTTAAGCATGAGGGCAACTTCCCTAGGAGCCCCCAACATAGCTTCCCAACCTCATATTGACCAGATTTGAGGCACATCCCCCTCTAACCCAGATACTGACAAGGAGGGTGGAATGGCCGTAGGAATTTACCCTTTGTCTTAGTCATCTAGTGCTGCTACAACAGAAATACCACAAGTGGATGGCTTTAACAAAGAGAAGTTTATTTCTTCACAGTAAAGTAGACTAGAAGTCCAAAGTCAGGGCGTCAGCTCCATGGGAAGCCTTTCTCTCTCTGTCGTCCTTCTCATCAGTGTTCCCTGGACTAGGAGCTTCTCCGCGCAGGGACCCTGGTCCAAAGGACACGCTCTGCTCCTGGCACTGCTTTCTTGGTGGTATGAGGTCCCCCCTGTCTCTCTGCTCACTTCTCTCTTTTATATCTCAAGAGATTGCCTCAGGACACAA